TGATTATAATAACATAAACATACCATAAGAAAATCCCCAAATCTCCAGTTACTTTGGTATGTTAGAACCAAATAGTCTGATATACAAGGAAATGTTATTGATTTACCTTCTCAGCCTCCTTCCACAAATTATCCAAAGTTGTAAACTCCTCATTAATCTTATTCAAGGCTGCTTCTTTGGAAACATTGGCTGTTTTCAGCTCTATGCGCTCTTCTTTCAGGAAATCAAACATGGCGTCTAGATCCAAATTGGAGGCAGATACGGCTGGGCGACAGTGGGTCCACATGGACTCCATCAGGTGGGTCAGGGATTCTAGTTCCAGCCTGGATTGTCTGAAAATTGTAACAAAATACAACATTTGTTGATGTAAAGATGTGATCAATTCAAATAAATGTTAGGCAATGAACAATATAATTTAATTCTGTAGAGGCACAAACAGATCAAATTAGTTTTAAGAGAATGATGAAAAAGCGAGTGGCCAGAGGATGTGGCGGACACTCAACATTCAGGGAAAAGAGAAGATATAGACATACAATCATAATACTTCTGGTCCCATTGTAATTGATTCACAGAACTGGCTGCTGAAGATGAGGATGGAAGGCTTATGGAAATGTTGAGAATGCTGCGATATTGGTTCTTAACACAGTTCAACTCATTAACTCTTTGAGTCCTAAGGAACGCATCATACGTTCATAGATTCCTACCTAGAAGCCCAATAAACGCAAGATGCGCTGTTTTTATTTCTCTTTTGACTACTCCATGGACCTGTGACGCTAAACCACCTGGGACTCAAAGAGTTAAACTCGTGAAAGAATCAATTGTATATTATATTGTGCTTTGGACTGAAAGAGTTGGTGACTGGGGTTAATCAACAACATAGCCAGACAGTCTGCCCATATACTTATTTTGAAAGTAGTGCATTTTGATTTTTTATAGTGGTTATTTCCCACTAGGGAAATGTTCTGGCATTGACAATTAACATAATAAATAAATCCAACAACTGTATGACTTTAATTTGGCAGATCTTTGGCAGATGCCGAACTGCAAGGAGGCTCTCATTGTCCAAGCTCTTAACTTCTTCTTCTTGGGATCCCTTTCCAGTTTACACAAGTTCTTGAGATGATAAACTTGACTGTTTAGGCTGCCTTGACTTTTGAGGTTCTTGAGATGATAAACTTGACTGTTTAGGCTGCCTTGACTTTTGAGGTTCTTGAGATGATAAACTTGACTGTTTTGGCTGCCTTGACTTTTGAGGTTCTTGAGATGATAAACTTGACTGTTTAGGCTGCCTTTACTTTTGAGGTTCTTGAGATGATAAACTTGACTGTTTAGGCTGACTTTACTTTTGAGGTTCTTGAGATGATAAACTTGACTGTTTAGGCTGCCTTTATTTACTTTTGAGGTTCTTGAGATGATAAACTTGACTGTTTAGGCTGCCTTGACTTTTGAGGTTCTTGAGATGATAAACTTGACTGTTTAGGCTGCCTTGACTTTTGAGGTTCTTGAGATGATAAACTTGACTGTTTAGGCTGCCTTGACTTTTAAGGTTCTTGAGATGATAAACTTGACTGTTCAGGCTGCCTTGACTTTTAAGGTTCATGAGATGATAAACTTGACTGTTTAGGCTGCCTTTACTTTTGAGGTTCTTGAGATGATAAACTTGACTGTTTAGGCTGACTTTACTTTTGAGGTTCTTGAGATGATAAACTTGACTGTTTAGGCTGACTTTACTTTTGAGGTTCTTGAGATGATAAACTTGACTGTTTAGGCTGACTTTACTTTTGAGGTTCTTGAGATGATAAACTTGACTGTTTAGGCTGACTTTACTTTTGAGGTTTTTGAGATGATAAACTTGACTGTTTAGGCTGACTTTACTTTTGAGGTTCTTGAGATGATAAACTTGACTGTTTAGGCTGCCTTTACTTTTGAGGTTCTTGAGATGATAAACTTGACTGTTTAGGATGCCTTTACTTTCGAGGACTTTAACTGGTACCCATTTAAGGATGGGTCAACCTGTGAGCCAAGGTCATTTTTTTTAAACAACTCTGGCTCCGTCAGGACTCGAACCCATGACTTTCAGATCTGCAGAAGAGCATAGCCAATGAAAACAAAGCACTAAAGTAGCACAAACACAGCCCAGGGATGGCAGATATTTCCAAACATATTGTCAGAGGGTCAGTATATGTGGATAGTAGCATATTATCCTAGCCATAATGTTTGGTTTTCTCGATGCTAAGTCTTCAAAGCCTTATGTGGCTTGTTCAAAGTTAAAGGATGGAGGACAGTAGATTCCCTAAGGACATCAGCTATGGTGAATTACAGAGATGTTGAGGTCAATCTCTACTACAAAATAAGTGCAAGTGGGACATAAATGATACAGGTATTGCGGTGGATTCATGGGAAAGGGATGCCATGGACCATGTTGCATAAAGGCGGAAATTAGAAGCTAATGGGGTTAAAGGGAAAAAAATGACTGCAGACATATAAAGAGCAAACATCTGAGAAAAAGCACATAAAACACACGGAGTGGCAATAACAGTTCTCAAATCCCCGCTCTAAATGAGGATGACTTTTCTGAACCCGACCAAGTCTTGCCAGTCACGCCTGTCATTGCAAGGGGTGCGACTCTTATGCTTCCCTACAACACAGTCTAGCATCTGTAACATTTTAACCTACCATCCATTTGCCCTGTGACTGCACACACACAAAAAAAAAAAAAAAAAAACAGGCCATAAACCTGTGGAAATTATCCCCCCCCCCCCCCCCCCCCACCCAAAAAAAAAAAAAACCCACATTATTCTTAAAAACAACTATTTCACATAAGTAACTGATAAATGGTCTAAACAGTTATTTAGGTACATTAAAAAAAAATTGTTTCAAAATTTATAAAGATTTATAAAAGAGGTAACCACTTAACAAGATGAAGACGGAACATGCATGGGAATGCCCAGAGTGCTGTGATGTCAATTCTTGACTCAACTCAACAGGTTTATTAATTACTCCTTTTATATACCATTATATATATTTTTGTTTTCATGTAAAAACCTATATAAATAAATTTTGAAAAATAATTATTAGTGATGTGTAAGATTTAAGAAATTTTGGTTTGTTTTTTGAATTCATATGGAAATATAACCTTTTTTTTTGTTCTTTTTCTTTTAGCATTTCTGGGGTGACGGGGTTGAAATTAACCATGTCTAAAGGAATTGTTTTTTTTACATGGTGATTAACTGATTTTCAGCAGAAAATGTTGGAAAACAGTACAATCTGCATGTAGCATGCAAATGTAATATCATGCCATTAACAATTTTAAGGCCAGTTTGGAAAAAATATAATTTCGGTAAAATGCAATATTTAAAGTTATAATAAAAGTTAGTAGCGTATTCTGGACAGGATGTTGGAAACAAACCCTAGCATATGTTGACTGTTTTCAGTTTTACTAGGCAATTTTATGTTCAGTAGTTTGCCTATGCTTTCTGAACATCTGGCTGCCCAAACAATTGTCAAAATCAGCACAAAATGGTATCATTTGTAATACCATCCTCGTAAATCTCTGAAAGTTTTTTAAGCGACATCATTTAATTTAAACGGTAACTGGCAGTAACTGCAGCTCTCCGGTGGCTAGAGAACAAGATGCATACACATGTCGTAATTGTAACAGACTCTGAAAGCATGCTGAAAAAGGTGAAGACAGAGATGCTTCGAGCAGAGTGGCAAGCTTCACCGGAAAGGTCACGGGTAGTGAGCCTACTTTGGATCTTTTCTCCAGGCCATTTCGGGGTGGTGGGTAATGAATAGGCAGACAGATTAGTTAGATCTGCACCACTGGGTGGTGATTTGATACATGACAAGGCAGATGTTGTCGAGGCCCTTTGGGAGCAAGCAGCGGAATCAGTAGAGAAAGAAGATTATTATGGCCTGGAGAGAATTAGGCACCTGGGTGTAACCAGAGGGTCTGGCCGGCTGACTACACTCAGAGGAAAGGCAAGACAGACATTTAACCAGATTGTGACCGGTACCATCAGTATTGGAACTCTGCTCCGGCTGCTGAAGATGAGGCCGGAGCATGCATAGGAATGCTCCAAGTACTGTGATGTCAATTCTTGACTCAACTCAACATATATAATTTAAAATAAAAATTGGACACTGAAACTTAAATGACTGTCCAAGTCAATTAGAAAGAATAAAAAAGAAGAAAGTAACAGAAGTTTAATCACAATAAACTGAATATTTAGCCAAAAAAGCAAGCAAAAAATGCTGAAGGTAAAGAAATAAAATGAATTCAAAACTGAGAACAATTGAAAACAAGGAAACAAATAAATGTTAGTTGGGTATCTCAAGCAGGACATTTTAGACATAACCCCAGAATGTTTTTCTGGCTGCTTGGTTTTCTTAGACAATTTCATGTTCAGTAGTTTGCCACTGCTTTCTGAATCATTAGCACTTTGCACCCTTGTTGAAATTAATACAAACCTGCCTGCTGCCAAATCCCCTGCAGCTGGAATTTAACCAGGTATTTCAGAATTACAAAGCACATTTGCAGAGTCTAAGCCACAGACGCTAATAACAACTAGAAGTAATATAAAAACTAATGCAGAACTAAATTACAAAACACAACACAGAAAAATGGCAAAAATAGAAATTACTACACTACTAAAAATGCAAATGAAAGCAACAAATAAACCTTAAAAAAAAACACAACAGTTGACATGAATAAAAGCAACGCCTTCGAACTAAAAAAAAAAGAAAAAAAAACATTTGCCTCCAAAAAAGCAATGCCTTCTAACCAAAAAAATGACAAAACAACAGCTGACATCTATAAAAACAATACCTTCAAACCAAAAAATGACAAAAGAGCAGCTGACATCTATAAAAGCAATGCCTTTGAACCAAAAAATGACAAAAAAACAGTTGACATCTATAAAAGAATGCCTTTGAACCAGAAAAAAAAAAGACAAAAGAGCAGCTGACATCTAAAAAAGCAATGCCTTCTGAACTACCTTAATATCATTTGCCATGACTGCCGTTTTTTCATTTTCCTGCAATGGTAAACATGATTTCAAGAATACATAATTTAATTTCAAAGCCTTATACAAATATTCATCATCATCATGTACCTTTTCAATTCAAATGATGATATGTCTCAGTATCACATACTTAGACCAACCAGAAGAAAGTATCTCTGTCTCCGACTGTACTACAATCAATCATCCCATCCATCACCACATTTTTCAGTATCTCTTTTCATCTTGTCTACTTCTTCTTCTACTCTTCTTCTTCTTCATCTTCTCCTCCTCTTTGTCTTCTTCTTCTTCTTCTTCTTCTTCTTCTCCTCTTCCTCATCCTTTCTTCTTATTTTTCTTCTCCTCTTTCTCCCCCCAACGGAGCACAGGCTCCCAGCCAACATGCTTTTGTCCTGTCTTTCTATCGCATGCAGATTACCCCATGTCCTCCCTATCTTTTTTAACTTCACTCTAGTGAGATCTCTTCTTTTTTTCTGTAATTTTCTGACTGTTTTATTACTTACTTTACTTTACTTTTTCCTTCCACGTATGCCGCTAAGCGTTGTGGGGAGATGCAAGTTCCTGTCATAAGCAAGGCGGGCAGCATCTGATGTTCTGAGGCCATGCTTTTGGCAGGTTTCGGAGACCCCGTCAATCCACAGTTTCCTTGGTCTTCCTCTTGCCTTATATCCTGAGCTTCTTAGGTTGAAAATTTGTGATGTTATTTGATCATTTTTCATCCTGGTTAGATGTCCAAACCATTTCATTCTTTGATGTTCTATGTAGTCTAAACATGGCGTAGTTTTGACAGTGTTTCTAATGTCTATATTCTTTATCCTGTCTAGTCTGGTCTTGTTCGCTGCTTTTCTTAGACATTTCATTTCACAGGCTTCTATTTTTCTTTCATGGGTCTTGTTGATTGTCCATGTTTGGCACTGGTAGCAGAGTGTTGGAATGAAGATGTTGTTTATCAATTGTCTTTTGGTCTTCATGGTTATATCTGGATGTTTAAGCAGAGGTGATAGTTGGTATGTGACAGCATTTGCTTTCTGTATTCTTGTTTCTATCTCTCTGTCCATTCTTCCATCCTCTGTAAATATACTGCCCAAGTATTTGAACTCTTTGGTTTGCTTGATTTTGGCACTTCCAACATTTATATTCAGTGGCCTGTGTGTTCTGCTGATCTTCATAACTTCTGTTTTTTTCTGTACTGATTCTCATATTATGTTGTAAACAGCTGTTGTTGAGAGTAAGAGTTTTATTTCTTACCCGAAATCAAAAGGAAAAGTATACAAAACATTCCCAAACTCTCTTATTTCATTATAACTTACTACAGTAGTATTGTGCCCTTTACAGAGCTTTGTTCTGGCAATATGCAACACTATGCAGTACTTGCACCTTTTTTATTTTTATTTTAAGCATAATTTTTTTCAGCTCCACTGTAATAGACACTTCGTGGTAAGTAAATAAGTTTTACCGAACCAGGAAATCACTCAGAGTAATAAATACCTGGTGACACAAAGTGTCACCATGCGGATGAGGATCACCCGTGGAGAAGACCCGGAAACCCCATTTATCTGTTAGGTTATATTAGGGCCCCTGGCAACAGCCAGGGTGGGGCTTAAAAAAACCGAAAAATGTCATCCAACAAGGAGATATAGTAGACATCTTGCGGTGAGTACCGGCATCACTTTTTTCTTTTAGAAACAAAAAGCTCTCTCTATTAGATTTCTAAATTGAGTAAGTAAAGTGACAATTCCTTTCCTAAAAAAAAAAACCATTTTGTTACTGCCTAATTTTACTACTTCGTAGTGTTGGACATAGAGTGAAGAAAAAAAGAGGGCGGGGGGAGGCTTTTGAGCCGGAGAATTTAGGGCAGCATGACTGGTGCTGTCCTTACGGACTGAGTAGATAAGTGTTTTTTGTGTGTGGGTTTTTCTTGCTCCCGACAGAAGAAAGTCCATCATGTTGCAGGGATCAGCCCCAGATCTTTAGAATGAGATCCTAGCCTTGTAATATCCCAGCCAGCCTCTTCTTCTTTTCCTAAACTTAAACTTGTTGAATATATAGTAATAGTATGGTCGTTTTAGATCCATCAGCAGTTGATGGCTTGATGGAGAATGAGGTCAATTTCATGTGGGCTGCCTTTATTTCCCAGAAAATTGTCTTGTACCTAGTATATCTCTAAGATAGAATATATTGTTAAAGTCCCGGAAGGCTAACCTGCTCAATAAATGCCTGCAGAAGTCAGATGTATCGGCTGAAAGGTGGAAATATTGCAGCTATGCCGTAAACAGGCACAACACATTTATACCTTTGGATGAACACAGAAGAAGACGATGACAAAGGTCAGCTCTTCAGCAGACAGCAGATCAATTAAAAAGAAAAGTGATGCGGATGACCAAAAGAAACCTGGAAAAGGGCAGCACAAAGGAAATAAAGATGTGAAAACTGACATGGGATATCATGGATCGAAGGCAAGAGAGCAAGAAGTAGGCAATGTGGGAGGACAACATCAAGATGAATGTGACTGACTGATTATGGGTAGAAATGCTGCGAACTGACAGAAAGAGAGATCACTTGTAAATGTCTTATGTATCAACAACAATATGTACAGAATATCTAATACAGTTCTATACATTGGTCGACCTCTACTATGATATTATGATGTGTGCAAATGGGACACGAATGACACAGGTATTGAGGTGGACTCGTGGGAAAAAAATGCCATGAACCATGTTATGTAGAGGGGGCACAACAAGAAGGGAATGAGAATGAAGGAAAAAATTATTGCAGAAAGGATGAGAGCTGAGCGTCTGAGAAGAAAGGGATTAAATACAAATGTTGACAACAATGGTCCTGAAATCCCATGCTATCATTGTGGAGGACTTGTCTTAACCCAGGCGGGTCTTGCTAGTCACACTCGCCATCGCCATGGGCTGTGAGTCCCATGTCTTCTCATAGCGAAATATAACATGTCGTCTTGAAAGAGGGAAAGGTGCCAACCAATCTATACAATGGAATTAATATTTGCCAATGAGCAACAGGAAAAACAACACTGAGTTGATAATTTATGCTAACATTTGAAACCAATCATTTATGACATACCTCAGTGCTTCGTCTATAGCCAGCTGGTCTTTGGACTCTTTCTCCTTCAGCGACCTCTCTCTTTCAAGTTCCTCTTGTCTTCTTTTCTCTTCCTCCTGTTGCTTCCTCAGTTTCATATCCTTGGCAAGTTTCCGAGACAAGCACCCACGATAACACGACTACAAGGACAGATGCATTGAACATTGCTGTTAATTCTTTAAAAATAAAAAATAAATCATCATCATCATCAAGAGCTTTGTCGACTTGAATGTTGAATGTAAAATTAAAAATTGGCATCACAGCACTCGGGACACTCCAGTAAGTGCTCAGTCCCCATCTTCAGCAGCAAGCAAAGAGTTTCAATTCCTATGGTACCAGTAACCGTCTGATTGTATACCTGTCTCATCCTTCTCCTGAGTATCAGCCAGATCTCCTGGTAACTCCTCACAGCGTCAATTCTCCTTAGTCCGTATGAATCTATCTGCACCTCTGCACTGTTCACTTCCTCCCAAAGGGCCCTCACAATATCTAGCTTGTCATACATCAATTCACCACCAAGTGGTGAAGAGCCAGCCAGTCTATCTGCCTGCTCATTTCCAAACATACCAGCATCATCTGGAGAAAATATCCAAAGGATGCTAACTACCCTTTGTGCTTTGTTGACTGGTGTGAGTTATCATGCCTCTGCACAATCTGCAATCTTCAAAGGTATATATCTGTTCAAATGCTGACACCCCTCATTCCACAACAAGAATCGTCTCGTGTTGTTTTCCCCTGTCTTCCCCCCCCCCCCCCCCCCTAGATCTTTCCAGTAGTCACATATTCCAGTTCCCCTCTCACAACATGACCAACAAATTATGACTGTCTCTTTCTGATATGTGTAATAAATTTTATCTTTCAAAACATCTGGGTTGCTCTTCTTTGCTGTCTAGGGAATTCTAAGGATTTTTCTGTAAAACCACATCTCTGAGGCCTCAAGATATTGTTTGGCTATAATAACAAATACTATAATGAATACTCCCCAACCCATTCACTTCAAATTAATGCGTGATGTGTGACTGGTACATCCTCTAGAATCCCTATCATTGCTTTATCTGTTCTCTTACATTTTTTAAAATTTTGCCAAGGCATATGAAAGAAATCTGGTTTTCTTAACGACCAAATCCAACTCTAGCCCTGTTCTGCATTTCAGCATCAGGTACCACTGTTCCAATTCTCACTTTGTTAAACAAAAGCTGTTTCTATCTGCTGTTTTATACTTAACCTGATCTCTTCATCTATCAGTTTCTTTATATAATTGTTTCTTTAGTTTTTGTGTAGGGCTTCTATCATGGCACCACCAGTTATCAGAGGATCATGACGAGATAAGATAATGAACTCCTGAACATTCCCTACAAGACCCACCTGGATCTTTATAGCTGCCCTTCGCTTCCGCAAGAAATCCAGACGCAGCCGGAAGGATCTAAAGCTGTCTTGTAAAATAAGCACAGCCTGTTTCTTTCTTTGGTAGTCTGTAATATACAGAAGATGTTAAAATTGATGGGAACAAAAACAATAAAATACACAGGTGCAAAAAATGGGCATTTATAAAAGATGTTAAAATTGATGGAAACAAAAACAATTAAATACACAGGTGCAAACAATGGGCATATACAAAAGATGTTACAAATAAGTAAAACAAAAACAATAAATGTACAGGCTTTTGAGATGAATGAAGAAACGAACAAACTTTATTTTCAAAGGGTCACAAATTAGGCACGAAGGCCTGTCTTACATACGGCCCCTCCAAACTCCCATCTTTCACACAGCAGTTGTATTTCATCAATAAAGCATGTTACGTTCATGTAATAATAGGCATATTATGAATATTAAGTAAAAAACAAAAGCATGGGTGGTAAAATATGTGTGCGCGCTCGCGCGCAAACACACACACCCACGCAAACTCATTCACTCACACACACACACACATAGGCACCCAATACACACATACATCCACATACATATGAACATGCACACACACACACCCACACACGTACATGCGTACATACACACGCACATACTGTGTTTAGATACAGATCATCAGCCACCTGTATTGTACATAAAGCATTCATTTTTCAATAGAAGCCCTACACAAAAACTGATGAAATAATTATATAAAGAAACTGATAGATGAATAGATCAGGTTAAATATAAAACAGCAGATAGAAACAGCTTTTGACCAACAAAGTGAGAATTGGAAAAGTCGGATTATTGAAACGAGGAGAGCGCTTTTGAAAAACACTTTACTGACTAAATTAGAAGATAAATGAAATCAGATGTATAAGAAATGTGGCGGGAAAAACAAAAAGAGTCACAAAATGAGGATGATCAGAAGATGTTACAAATAATGGAAATAAAAGCAGTCAAGTGCACAGGTTCTGTACAGGTTTAGAATGGAAAGAGTTAACAGGAAGGGACCTTTTGACCCCTTCCCCCTGTGTATCATCAGCATCATCGTACAGCAGGTCCTTTGCAGAATATTGCTCTCATCATGGTATGCCTGAAATAAACACTGTCTCTCGCCAGCTCTCCCACCTTGTGAACTTCTAAAGCCTTCCGGGTACCATGTCTTCTGCTATTATTTTGTCCAATCCGCAATGGCACTTTATATGACCAAAATATTTCAGAATCTGAGACACGATGCTGTTTATTAACCAATCTTACTTGACGTTCAGATCTTTTAAAATGTCAGTATTTCTTCTCTTCTCTGTCCACAATATTCTGAGAATTGTTCTATAGCAATTCAACTCAAAAGCCCCTATTTTATTTCTTAAGGACTGGGAGATAGTCCACGGCTCACACGCGTGTTGCTACAAGGAAGATGCCTGCTCTCAGAATTGTAACTTTGATTTCCTTGTTGGCACTTAACCATAATTTAACCTTCTTATACACAAAAAAAAAAAAAAATAGCAGCCTGGCCACTCTATGAGCTCACCTCTCCAACAAACAAAACCTCGCCAGGTCTTCTGGATGATGGTGGCTTTCCTTCTGATGAGGTTATGGCACCTTTCCTCCAGAGGTTCGAAGACACTGTTTCTCATGAACACCTAGACGGAGTCAAGTGAAAGGATTCACTACATTGAGGGAGTCTTTTATAAAACCATACTGGAGGAAAAGGTTGAGGGCAAGAGAGCAAGAGGTAGACAATGATACAAGTGGGAAGATAGCATCAAGATATTGGCCAATATCAATGAGAGAGTGTACAACCAAGACAATGGAAAAAACATGCTGGATATCTGTTGCAGTCCCCAGCTAGGACAACTTTTTTAACACTAACTCCTGTTTTTCAGCCCCTTGGGTTCGCAGAAACCAGATGTGTTGCACTGAAGGGTGTAGATACTGCAGCTTAACTAAAATCCACAACAAGGAGGAGGAAAGAACGGGTAAAATGTGAATTATTTTTTCAAACTATTAATCCCCCAGCACCACCACCATACACACACACACACATGGCATTTAAATAATCATTATATTCTACAACAACCCCCCCCCCCCCCCCCCCCCACCCCCATCTCAAAGCCAAGAGGGACTGATCAGGCAACAAGCATGATTTTCTAAAACTGTCCTGAAAAACCAATTCACTTTTTCTAAGACTGAAATTCTTCTTCTTCTTCTTCATTCTTATTCTTCCATCTTCTTCTTCTTCTTCTGCATTCATCAACTGAAATTATTATCCTGGAACAATAAGTTTAGAAAGTTCCCTTTATTTAACACAGATTTCGTCTGCCAGTAATATTATCTTAATTTACAAGTAATGTAGAAACTGAAATTATATACTGAATTACAGATTTGGGCTGGGAAATACATAAGGTGGAAGAGCTAACAAGGGACAGACTCTGATCGAAGTTCAACCCCACAAGGACCACAAAATGAGAGATCAACATTTGATAACACAAAGTGCCACCATTCGGATGAGAATCTCCCTGGCGCAAGTCCCAGAAGCCCTGTTTAATTGTTAGGTTATAATAGAGCCCCTGACGACAGCCAAGTTGGGGCTTTGAAATAACTAAAAACTGGGACCCATACTGGGACGAAGTTCGCAGGAACAGAGAATCTTTAGGCAGGCTGTGATGGGAGTAAAGTTCTCTTCTTCTTTCTCCTTCGCGTTCACCAGCTGTATACTCTGGCGGAAAGTTCTGGTTGATCGTCCACCATTGAACTGCAGTCCTGCTCCAGAACCTGAGTATTGTGTGTGCATCAGTTTTACAGATCTCATTCTCTTGAATACAGACTGTTGGTTCCTTGCCTCTCCGGCAGATGCACTCCGACTTCAAAGGTAGCTCCCCAATTAGTCGACTCCTACGACATGCTTTTGGGGAGGCAGTGGGTCTATTCTTGTTTTCCCCACAATGGGGCCCCGGAACCCACACCAACGATTTCTAATTTTCTCAACAGTTTATACATTACATTTACCATGAACAAATTTCTCAAATGACTTGATAGAAACAGACTATGTTATAGCTTTAGTACTAGAACAATCTGAAAAATTTCAAGGAAACAGCTCGTACCTTTGACTTGCCAACTTGCCATTCTGTTTTAGACAATCCCAGGTGGTTAAGTATACTCCTCACCCTGGCACCTGGGTCATCAGGTGCCAGATCTTTGTCCAGCAGGATGCCATATTTGTTTAGAAATGTATCGATTGGCACATGCACTGGGTATCCCTATCAAAGAACAGAAAATATTGCAAGTTCATTAAACAGTTTAAAATGCAAATATCCATGTATGAAGGTAACCCAGAATTAAGTGAAAGCTAAAACTTTTTGAGATACAGACTGTCATTGCTAGGACTTATTCCATCAAAATGCTTGGCCATCCTCATCATCGATCAGCATTTCCTTTACAGAACGTTGCTTTCACCACAGTACACCTGAAAGTCTTACTTTCTCTAGCCAATTCTCCAGCCCTATGTGCTTTCATAGCCAATGCATCTTCATGTCCTGTATCCACCTTTGCAGTGATCTGCTTCTACTTCCTTTTCTTGAAACTATACCTTCCATTGTCATTCTCTCCAGGCCACAATGACATTCATCATGGCCAAAATACCTCAGCTTTCTCTTGTTTATGAGCTATTTTTCCTCGATGCTCAGATAATCTAAGATGTTGGTCTTCTTCTTCTTGGTCTATCGTATTCTATGACTGTTTTTTGTAGCATTTCAGTTCAAAAGCTAAAATTTGTCAATGATCGAGTAAGAGTCGCCATGAAGAAATCTGTCCTAAATCCTGCCCATTTGGCATTTAAGTACTAACAAAACTACAAACAAAACTTATGTTCAACGGAAACATGTGAGGCACTTTTCAAAAATATTCACAAGTCTGTTTTTTAAAGTCACAACCAATATCCCATGTGTGGTCTGCCACTGTTTGTGTGCACCAAGCAATGAACAATTTAATTTCATATCTGATCTAAACATGCTATAAATATCTGGCTAGTTATTTTAACAATCAGCTTGGTATATAATTTTGCTATATTTGTGTTATATTGCCCACTAATACACAGTATGTGATCAGCTTTTGTTCATATGTATAAAAACAATAAAATACAAGATGTGGCTTAACATTCGACCTAAACATGCTATGGAAACCTGGCAAGAACATTAACACACAACTTGGTATATCGTTCCTTACATTTATGATAGCCATACACTAACATTTTATTTCTACTGCTTGTAACTATTGTACTTATTGAACATATAGTGCAAAATTTTCTAAGCTGATGGATTTAATTAACCATAAAAAAGGTAGTCCCATAAGACGATGTCATTGGTATGGGAAGTGTTAGGCTTTCACATATACTAGGTCATGGCATGCTAAGTGGAGGTCGTCAGTTCCCTTAATCATCACTTTTCTTTCTCAGGCAATTTCCACAAAGTTCTGGAAATTATACCATGTTTATAAAGCTCAGGCTTTGTGTTTTGGAAAGAGGAACAGGCATGTAAGTTTTGTTAGTCACATTTGCCATGGTCTGTGATTTCCATGCCTCATCATGCCGAGTTTTCAAGCCTAACAAATCTGTTCAAAACTATAAGGCAACTTAAATGGTGGGTATAAAACTCTTTAGATAGGAATAAGCCTAACTCGAATTCTGAGCTAAAAATCTTGAGGTAAACTTAAAGGTAAGTAAAGTAAAAAGTAAAGGACCTTTCTCCATGCTTTTAGGTGTATAGGGCATATAGGGCTAGACCTATATTTTTATAGACCAATCGGCACAAGATGGGTGATGTGGTCAGCATCACGCCGGTCGCCTTTACTTCCCGGGACTGCACCCAGTACCCTCTCAAGGCTGGGTCGACCTGGGAGCCAAAGTCATTTTTGAAAATAGTCCGGCTCCGCCAGGAAGCGAACCCACGACCTATCGATCTGCGGCGAGCGTCTAGCCGCTCGGCCACGGGGACTCCCAACTTAAAGTAAAGGTAAAGGTAAAGTCGGGAGATGTGAACCAGCATCACTGCACACGGTTATAAACCATAAGTACTCTGCCACCAGTACGGACAGCTGATAAGAATTGTCCGCCTGTGTCGCCGTTCGCACGTAACTCTGTAGTTACAGGGACGTTCCTCCATTTACCCCAGAGTGTTAACTCTGGTACCCATTTCCTAGAGGCTTGGTGAACCCTGGGAGCTGCCCGGTTTCGAACACTGACCGTGGGCTGCAGTGAGTCGCAGCTGGATTTGAAAGCGAGCTTCTTATCGACTGCGCTAACAAGCAGGTAAACTTGGATACAGGGTTGACTAATGCACCACCATTTATAGTAATTACAGCGATGGTAGAACATTTTGACATAAAATTCTCACCTCTCTTTTAATACGAATAATGTCTAACATCCCAGAATACCTCAGCTGTAAAAGCACTTCCTTCTCTTGATAGTCATTTGGTTGTTTCATTGAGTTTGGCTTGAGACATCTCACATACCTGGTAGACATTACATGAACATCCTTTATTCTTTCATTGTTTTTTTAATCCTTCATTAACTTCAAGCAAGCATAAAGAAGATGACAGTTTATTGTACGCCTCCAAAGTATAGGATTAAATGGACAGGATTTCATAATTTTTATTAAAAATGTCCCGTTTGGGTTCAGGGGTCCTATTATAGGGAAAACAAGAATAGACCCACTGACTACCCAAAAGCATGTAGTAAGAGTCGACTAACTGGGAGCTTCCTTCAAAGTCGGAGTGCATCTTCCTGAGAGGCAAGGAACCAACAGTCTGCATACACATGAGTCAGCTCTGTCAAACGGATGCATACGCAACACTCAGGTTCTGGAACAGGACTGCAGTCCAGAAGTGGACAAACAACCAGAACTTTCTGCCGGAGTTTACAGCTGGTGAACGTGAAGAAGAAGAAGAAGAAGAAGAAGAAGAAGAAGAAAAAGAAGAAGAAGAAGAAGAAGAAGAAGAAGAAGAAGAAGAAGAAGAATTATTAATAACTTACAAACGTAAAATAAAGGACTCTTTTTCATGCCTTCAGACAAATTGGGCATGTAGGGCTAGACCTATATTTTATAGATCAGTCGGCGCTCAGAGGGTAATATGGCCAACATCTGATGCAGTTGACATCTGATGTAGCCGACATCTGATGCAGTCGACATCTGATGTAGCCGACATCTGATGTAGGCGACATCTGATGGAGCTGATATCTGATGTAGCCGATATCTGATGTAGCTGACATCTGATGTAGCCGACATCTGATGTAGCTGACATCTGATGTAGCCAACATCTGATATAGCCAACATCTGATGTAGCCAACATCTGATATAGCCAACATCTGTTGCGTCCGACATCACTCTGGCTGTTTTGACCTCCTAGGACTTTACCTGGTTCCCATTTGAGGTTGGGTTGACCTGGAAGAAAAGGTCATTTCATTAGAAGTCTGGCTCTGTTCAGATTTGAACCCATTACATTCTAGCTGCTAAACTACAGCTCTCATTAATTATCTATACAGGAAAAGGGGGGGGGGGGGGGGGGGGGGGGCAACAGTTAGACACAACAACATTGATTCACCACTGATAAAGTTCAACAGAGGAGGATGTCAGTCAACGATGTGTGTTATCCCCAAGCCTTTTCAACTTATACACAGAAAACATTTAAACAATTTGAAGAAATGCCTGAATGAATATGAATGGAAGAATACAAAATATTCTAAGATATGCTGATGACCCAATGTTACTAGTAGACAGTGAATGGGAGTTACAGAAAAGATGGAATTAAATGGTACGATAGAATGACTGATGTTGAGCTCTTGGAGAGAGCTAAACAAATTCCAGTGAATCAAGAGGTGAGGAAAAGATACCGGCATAGGATAAGACACACAGTGAGAAAACCTGAGAACATCATAATGGAATGTCTTTGCACTGGAACCCACTGTGGCACAGAAATAAATTCAGACCAAAACGCACATGGAAAATGAAGTTAGAGAGTAAAGTTAAAAGGACAGGGAAGATATGGGGTGCACCTTATACACAAAAAAAAAGGGATAGGACGATGTTCCACTGGGAGTTGAAGGGTAGGAAAAAAAATTAGAAGTTTGCCACTGCAGAAAATAAACTGATCTGCCCACAGAGAGAGAATGCGGTATGACTCCATACCATACAAGACATACACCTCAAGGTCATATGAAATAAATGTGACAAACAAACAAACAAAATGCACGAAGAAGGGAGTTAAAAAGTAAAGTTCAGATAGGGAAGACATGGGATGGGTTGCATGCAATAGTAGCACAGGATATGGCAACTTGGCTTGGGTGAGGGCCTATGCTCCAGTGAAGGTTAAAGGATAGAAGAAGAGAAGAATCTGCAGCAACTCACCATGGGTTTGTCAGATCTAGAACGTCCACCAGGGCACTGAGCTGGTTCTTGAAGGTGTCTCCCACGGTTGGCTTCCCCCGGCTGGCTGTTCTTGAGATGGTTTGTTTCCCTTGAAGCACATCCAGCTTCACCCCAAGAAGGTCCTGAGGGTCAAGTGAAAGGATTCACTACATTGAAGGAAAAGGTTGAGGGCAAGAGAGCAAGAGGTAGACAATGATACAAGTGGGAGGATAACATCAAGATATTGGCCAATATCAATGAGAGAGTGTACAACCAAGACAAGAGAAAAAACGTGCTGGATATCTGATGCAGTCCCCAGCTAGGACAACTTTTTTAACACTAACTCCTGTTTATCAGCCCCTTGGGTTAGCAGAAACCAGATGTGTTGCACTGAAGGGTGTAGATACTGCAGCTTAACTCAAATCCACAACACCCACAAATCACCATTGTGAGTTCAAGCAGAGAAGAAAAATGTGTTTATTTTCCATTTGTCTTTTTTTTTTTCAATTCAAGTCTGTCAGTTGTCTCAAACTTTTCAAGTTTATTTCTCCTCATAGCCTTTCTACAAATTCTTCATTGTCTATGACTAACTTTTCACATCACGCTACGATCTGTGTAAGTTTTTTTGCAGGGCTGATCCTTTGTCTTTTGATTTCTTGAATGGCAGCCAGTTTCTGCCTTTATTATCCTACTTCTGCAGTGTAGGCAGGGGAGTCTTTGAGCCTGAGGATTTGCGGCCGCATGGCTAGTGCTGTCGTCACGACTGTGCAGGTGAGGTTTTTTTGTGTGTGTGTGCAGCCAAATACCATTATAAGTAAAGTAAAAAAAAGTAAAGTAAAGATCCCCTTCCACGCCTTTAGGCGTATCGGGCATATGGGAAGAGCGCCCATATTTTTACAGACCATCAGCACTCTGTGGGTAATGTGGTCAGCATTACGCCGGCTGTCTTTACTTTCCAAGGACAGCAACAACAACAACAAAAAAAAGAACACAGATCAGATCTGAGACTATAAGGATCTTTTAAGGGAGTAACAATGGCTGATACACTTCTTGTTCTTCATGTTCACTAACTGCAAACACCAACGGAAAGTTCTGGTTGTTGTCCACTTCTAAATTTGAGTCTTGTTCCAGAATGTGTGTTCTACATACACATCCACTTTACAGATTTGGTCTATTTGTACGCTGACTGTTGGCTCCTTGCCTGTCAGGCAGATGCACTTTGAAGGAAACCCCGTTAATAACACCATTAATTAATCAACTTTTACGACTTGCTTGCTTGCGGAGGGGGAGGGGGGGGGGGGAGCGTGGGGAAATTGAGGTTTGACAATAGATCTACACCCCCCCCCCCCCCCCCCCCCCCCCCCCCATACACAGAGCCCAGGAACCCACATGGTAACAATGGCATACAGTAATGATAATAAGACTGGGTAGTATTGGCTGGCCGAGCAGTTACAACATTAGGCTAACATGCGGGAGACCCAGGTTCGACACCCGGTAAGGTGCTGAGTTTGTCTATAGGGACCAAATTAAACATCCTAACCTGTACAGTCCATGGCGACAACACTAGCTGTGTGGTCCTAAATCCTGAGGCTTACGACTCCATGTTTACTTCTTCTTCTTCTTCTCTTCCACCTTGTACCCCAGCGAAGTGTCGGAAAGGGGGGAGGGGGTGAAGAGATGTAACATCCGTTGATGAGCTCTGTCAAGATTAAGACTGATGTTCATTTCTGTAAGGCTGTTCTTAATGACACCACTCCATCTTTTCCGAGGTCTTCCACTTGCTCTATACCCGTTGTAATATTTCAGTGTTGCTCGCTGTGGTAGATAGTACCAGGGCATTCTTGTTAATGTCCAAACCACTTCATTTGTTGTTCTTCCATGACTGGTAAGATTCATTCATTATTCCTAGCATTCGTCTGATTTTGTGATTTCGTATTCTGTCTTTCTTAAAAACTCCTGCAGCTCTTCTAAGGCATTTCATTTCTGTTGTCACAATTTTACATTCACTGGAGGCCAAAAAATAGTACTGATAAGATTCACTTTAGTATTCTGGGGCATCTGCTTGTGTGTCAACAGGGGAGATAGTTGCCCCATTACTTGATTAGCCCCAAATTTATACAACTCTAAAAAGTGGTAAGTACAGACAGAAGTGACTGTCTGACAGTGTAAGAGACTAGGACTAAACTTTTAGCCTATAACGTACCTGAAATCTGGTCAGATCTGATACAAATGCATTCGTGGCTGAATGCATCAGATCAAACAACTGGTCCTGCTGGGTGTCCTTGTTCTTGTCCAGGAACCCTTGAACTGTATAGACAACAACACCTGCGTAGTGATGGATGCCAAACTCCTTCTCCCAGTTTCTCCGATCTCCTTTTATGTAGTAGACATGCTCCTCCAGCTCTTGATGTTGTTTGACCAGGTAGGATTTATCTGTACCCTGTGAGATTGCAAAACATTTCATTCTGTCATCATCTCTGAAAACCATGTTTTTCCATTTATAAGACAGTATGTTTGCCAAATTTATGATAAAGCAGATGTTATGAAGGTGCAGAACACTTCATTCTATCATCATCTCTGAAATACGATTACCATGTTTTTTCCGTTTATAAGACAGTATGTTTGTATGATAAAGAAGATGTTATGAAGGTTCTATAGAATCATATAGACAGTGCAAAAGGACAGACAGAAAGGCCATACACTGAAAGACTAATTTAATGAGGTTGGGGGGGGGGGGGAGTAGAGATTCTGGAAGATATTCAGCACAAAGAGGGAAACACAAGCAGACTCTTAATCAGGTTGCAACTATCTGACACACTATACCACATGAAAATCAAAATCTAAACTATACAATCTAAATCAGAAAAAAAACTACAGCTTTTGATTTTCATGTTGTCTAGTTTATTACATATGAAATATACCAACTACAGGATCAACAACTAAGGCTTTTTTTTTTTCTGATGGTACGCAATGGTATGCAGTAATGGGCCCTTTTCCAAAGCATCATTTTTTTCAGCAATACTGTAAAAAAATTTGTGGTGAGTACCGGCACCTTTCTTCAGACAGTTTGTGGTAGGTAACTGTATTTACTTTTCTAGAAAGAAGAAAAGTCCTGACTGCAACAGCGGTCACCTTACCTGTGGAAAGCGACATTCCTCATCCAGCATCTTGAGAACACACTTGGGAGCCTTCTCAATCAGTTCCACACAGGCTGTGTTGTCTGTGAAGGTAATGTGCGCAAACTCAATCCCCTCCTGGCGATACTGAAAAATTAAGATAGGTTCTGTTAATATCAAGAGTCTGAATTTAAGAAAAAAGTTTTCAAATTATTAACTCATCCTGTACTAAACAGTTCTGGCATTCATTAGTTATTCCATGACCAATCTGTATATATATATATATATTTTCTAAGCCAGATAATAATTACACTTCTTCATCTTCTTCTTCTCTTCCACCTTGTACTTTATTGAAGTGTCGGGGGGAGATGCAACATTCATTAATGAGCTCTGTCAAGAGCACTATTAAAACTGATGTTCATTTCTGTAAGGCTGTTCTTAATGCCATCACTCCATCATTTCCGAGGTCTTCCACTCGCTCTATACCTGTTGTAATGTTTTAGTGTGGCTCGCTGTGGCAGATAGTACCAGGGCATTCTTGTTTGGTGTCCAAACCACTTCATTTGTTGTTCTTTGATGACCTGTAACACTGGCTTTATTCTTAGCATTAATTACACTAACTGTCATAATTGTTATGTTAAATTATTATTACTCCTTGTTTATGTCTTTCTAGCGTAACGTTGACCAGATTTCCCACCAACTGCTAAAAAATGAGGTGCTACAATAAACTGGGTCCTTTAAGACTCACTTGCCTATGTCTCTGTTTATGAATCTTCTTCCTCTTACTTATCTTCTTCATGAAATCTCAAAACTAAATGATCTATCTTAACAACTCAAAGATGAGTGATTTATACTAAGATATCCTTTCTTCTTCTTCATCATCATCATCATCTTCTGTGTTCACCCTTGAAAGGGCTATTGGCACAATGTGTTGTGGTTTTCAGCTAGACTGTGATATCTGCACCTTTCAGCCCAACATATCCAATTTCAGTCACTTTTTATGATGTGCTTTTTAGGGACTGTGGGTCTATCCATTTTCCCCCTCAAAAGTATAGCCCTGGAACTCACACCAGGAATCCGGAGATGTCAAAACTATGAGATTTTATTCAGAGATCCCACCACCACCCACGCCTCCCATTCTGCCACCAACTTCACCTCAACTTTACTCTGCTGTCAGTTATTCTGGAATAATTGAGTTCTTACCGTCTCCTGCTCCAAAGCAAACACATAATGGTTGAAGAAACGGTGCAATTTCTCATTGGTGAAATTGATGCACAGCTGCTCAAAGCTGTTTGTCTGTGAGAAACAAAAATACAAATGATTAGCAGCAAATAAGTCGTCCCCTTGTGGGATGAAACTTTTTGTTCTTATGAAGCCCCACCCTGGCTTTTGCCAGGGGCCCTATATATAGCTGGGCCTGAAATATGAGTAACCACATCGACAGCCAAAATTTGAAGTCAAACGAGGTCGACACCGTTACCCCAAACACTAATACCAGATACGACACAACCAAGGCCAAATTACCGAAACCCTATGTAGGAGCAGTACTTTACAACAAGGATACGATAAAATCACCAAATAATACCAGACCTCAGCAGTATAGCCATCAGTACCTGCCCAAGTCAATCGACCGCCGGTCCTTATTAGGATAGGCAATCTACTTTCCCCGGAAACAACAAACAGCCAAGGAAAACCACAATAAATCGATCCAACATCCAATCATCTTGAGCGCAGCACAGGGCCAGCCAGATTACAAAAACAACAGCAAGAGCGGAAACCACAACAAACAGAAAGTGACAATATTGAACACAATCCAGAATCAAATAAGATCGCGACCAGAAAACGTCACCACAAATATAGCTGAAAGGAAAGTGAGCAGAAATGTGAACGGACCTAGCTGAAAGTGGTCAAAGAAAGAGAATTTGAATTTGAATATGGGGGATTAACGGGGTTTCTAGGACCTCTCCACAGGTGATCCTCATCCACATGGTGGCGTTTTGTGCCAGGGGGTGTTTATCGCTTGTGTGATGTCCTGGTGGGGTAAAATGTACTGTTACTACAACTAATAAAAATGATTTAGCTGAGCATATTTCTTCTTCTTCTTTGTGGTCACCAACCGTAAACTCTGCAGGACAGTTCTGGCTGTTCGTCCACCTCTGAACTTGAGTCTTATACCAGAACTTGAGTGTTGCATGCATGTCAGTTTTACAGATCTGACTTAATTGTAAGCAGACTGTTGGTTCCCTACTGTCAGGCAGAAGCACTTTAATTTCGAAGGAAGCCTCCAGTTAGTCCACTCTTACAACGTTGGGTAGGCAGTGGGTCTATTATTATTTCCTTTATTTTAGGGCCCCGAAACCAATTAGGAACTAACATCACTGCATTCTGAATATTTCTATATGTACTCCATCCACATTTTCAGCAGCCAACACAGAGTTCCAGTTCAGATGGTACCGTAACAGTCTGAATGTATACGTGTCTGGCATTTCCCCTCAGTGTTGAGTATCAAGCACATTCTCGTCACTGGCCGCTGCATCACTCTCTTCAGAAAGTGACGAAAATGGGATGATTGCGGTCAAGATAATACCAAGAAATTAATCCACTCAACTGTGACTCAGACGTTTAATTTAAAAAAAAGGGGGGGGGGGACACTGTACAAACATTTGTAAAAAAGAATCAGTTATTAGGATTGTATCCCTCTCAATGCTGAGATTTTGTCGAGGCTCCCACCGAACATCTGATTTTGTGTGTGTATGTATGTATGTATGTTGTTCCCCCCCCCCCTCCCTTTTCCCCCTTTAATCTTCTAGGTCACAGCTCAGTGGATTAATTTAAATATTTTCAGATCATCATGATCAGATGATCTATGTGTGCCTTCACACTGTTCATTCATGCCTTCTTTTTCTTCTTCTTCTTCTTCTTCTTTTTCTTCTGTAGTAGTAGTAGTAGTAACTTTCACATACATCTCCTGTTCAACCCTCGGGGTTACAATAAAGTATCTTCGTGTTCTCAGAGTATGTATTGATTATTATTTTATACACCATAATTATTTATTTAGGACAGTATGTGTGAGTTTAAAAACGTTTTAATTACGTTTTTTTTTTTTTTTTTTGGTGTGTTTAAATTAGAAATTAAAATTGTGTTCATTTTCGGTTTTTGTGTGTGTGTGAAACAAAGTGTGGTACTATTTGCAAAAGAATTTCGGCAGCCCTGGTGGAACGTTGCTTCCATGACCTCGAAACACCCGCCTATAATTAGTTCAGATGTCTAAAACAGTTTGGTTTGTTAAAGGCAACAACAACAAAAACTGGCATGTTGTTTGTAATAATTACACGCAGAAAATCCAAGAGAGGTCCTTGAAATATGGTTGTCGATGAACGTGAGCTGGGCGTTATAGTGTGAGGTATTTGCATCGAAGGAACCACACAGTAGAAAGGGGGGGGGAGAAGAAGAAGAAGGAGAAGAAAAAGAAGGAGGAGGAGAAGGGGAGAGAAGGCGGGGGGAAAAAAGAGGAGAATGATGAGAAGGAGGAAAAGAAGAAGACAGAGGAGGAGGGGGAGAAAGAGAAGAAGGAAGATTTACTATAGACAATAAAAGTAAATCTTTCTTATGCTTCGGCTCTCCGGTTAATAAGTTACGTTGTGGCTTACAGCTAGACAGCGATTTCTGCGCCTTTCGGCTCAACACATCCGAGTTCAGCAGATCCTTCTATTGCATGCTTTTAGGGACAGTGTGTCTCCAACGCAACCACCCCCTCCCCTCGGACCTACGGGCAGTGGGGGGGGGGGGGAGAGGGGAGAATAATATCTAATAGGTAATTGAGAAACTAGAAGAAGGGAAAAACACAGAGAAGACCTGATGAAAGAAAGAAAGAAAGAAAGAAAGAAAGAAAGAAAGAAAGAAAGAAAGAAAGAAAGAAAGAAAGAAAGAAAACGACTGAGGCATGCGAACAATTAGAAAGACAACAAGAACAGTGCTCAAAGGCAGAAAAGTAAGAAATAGGCAACGATACAAACGATATTAAAGACACTCTATGCCTTCACGGCATGTCTAGAGCCAGTGGCAGCCAACGTGCACTGGATCGCAAATTATTCCTCCCCACGGCGTTAACGGCAGAAGTAGTTTATGATGATGATGATGAAGCTGATGATGACAAACGTGAAATCAAGAGACGACAAATTTCAGTCTATTTGAATGTACACTAGCAGAATAAGCGACAAATAGTGTCTGTGATTCAAGCAGTCATCCCGCATTGAGAAGATAACACTTTACTGATTGAATAACCTTCATGTGGATTTCAATCTATCAAAGAAAGAACGGAAGTTTGAAGAATTTAACAAAAGCGCCGATGCAAGCTAAACGCTAGAATTGCAATTTGCAACCTGGCAATTTAGACAATCAACAATGAAGCCAATTCTGCATGAGAGACGTGACCAGAATGCCGGCTAATCAATAGACGACCGAGCGGTCTAGTCTTGTGCATCGCTGGCAAGATAAGATGAAAATTACAGCAGAATGGATTGATGGAGTGAGTAAGTGTATAAGAAATTGGACTGAGTCACCAGCGCCTTAGAAACTGCATACAGACTCGGAGACTGCGATACTGCGATGTCCAAGTAGTGACAGACAACACAGTGGAAGATGAAAATATGCAGACTTTTAAGAAAAACGCGAAAAAATATTGTGCTCTATATGAAAACCCGGAAAGATGAAATTTGAACGATTTTTAGAATTATCAGCAATCAGCAAGTCCTTTACAGAACGTCGCTCTCTTCACAGCACGCCTTAAAGTATCCCTTTTCGTTGGCCAGCTCTCATGCACCATGTGCTCTCAATGCCAATGCATCTTCAATGTCGTGTATCCATCTTCGCGGTGGTTGACCTCTGCCTCGACTTCCACAAACTGCACCTTCCATCACTGTCTTTTCCAAGCCGACCATGACACTTGATGTGGCCAAAATACTTCAACTTTCGGAACAGGATGCTGTTTATGAGCCAGTTCTCCTTGATGTTCAACTCGTTCAGATTGTCGATGTTTTTCCTCATCCTGATCCATGGTTTTCTCAGAATTTTTCTATAACATTTCAATTCAAAAGCTCCAATCTGTTTCCTTAATGACTGAGAGTCCGGGATTTTGGAATTATACGTAGCTACATATTAAAAGTGAACAACGAGAGAATGAAAAATCGGAAGGGAGGCGAGATTTGACTGATATGGGATGAGGTGCAGTAACAATGCAAAGTGATTATAGGGTTAAGATAGAAATCCGAACATAGATGGAGCTTAGCCGAGCTAGAATGCTGAGCTCTTATGACTGAGTTAAAAAATAAGTAAATGACCCTTTTCAACGCCTTAAGGCTTATAGGGCATATAGGGCTAGACCTATATTTTTAAAGACCATTCGGCACACGATGGGTGATGTGGTCAGTATCACGCCGGCCGCCTTTATTTCCTAGAACTGCACCCGGTACCCACTCAAGGCTGGGTCGACCTGGGAGCCAAGGTCATTTTTGAAAAAAGTCCCACTCCGCCAGGGAGCGAACCCACGACCTTCTGATCCGCGGCGAGCGTCTAGCCGCTCGGCCACGGCGACTCCCCTTATACCTGAGACGCGGGTTCAAATCCTCGGTTCCATGGCCCCATTGTGGGGAAAACACAAAAGTCCATCTGCCAGCATAAGAAGCATGCCGTAAGAGTCAACTAATTATGGGTTTCCTTCAAAGTCGGAGTGCATCTGCCTGAGAGATAAGTAATCAACTTCTGTACACAAATAAGTCAGATCTGTTAAACTGATGTGCAGGTAACAACTGAAGTTATGGAACAAGACCACTAAAGTCTAGAAGTGGACGAACAACCAGACATTTCCGCTGGAATTTACAGCCAGCGAAGAAAAAGAAGAAGAAGAAGAAGAAGAGGAAGAAGAAAAAGAGCAACTGAAGAAGAAGAGGAGAAGAACAAGAACAAGAGGAGGAGGAGGAGAAGACGAAGGAGAGGAGGAGGAGGAGAAGACGAAGGAGAGGAGAAGGGGAGGAGGAGGAGAAGACGAAGGAGAGGAGAAGGAGGAGGAGGAGGAGAAGTCGAAGCAGAAGAGAAGGAGGAGGGGAAGACGAAGAAGAGGAGAAGGAGGAGGTGAAGACGAAGGAAAGGAGAAGGATGAGGAGAAGACGAAGGAGAGGAGAAGGAGAGGAGAAAGAGGAGGAGGAGGAGAAGACGAAGGAGAGGAGGGGGAGAAGGAGAGGAGAAGGAGGAGGAGGAGGAGAAGACGAAGGAGAGGAGAAGGAGGAGGAGGAGAAGAC